GCTGAATAGCCTTAGGCCTGCCTCTTCTTTCTAACCCTGTTACAACAAGTTAAGTTGTAATTTTGCCTATCATAAAGCTAGCCTTGTTAAAGTTGTACACGTCATTATCGCAGATGCCGTACTTAGCCTTTGTCTCCTCTACAAGCTCAAACCAGCTCCTAATTAGAGCTAGATCCTCGCATAGAGCTCTCTGCCTATCGTATGCTCGATTGAAACGCGTCCTAAGACTGTCCGTACGCTTGACAAAGTTGCTTAGCCAGTCTCTGCCTACAGGAGAGCTACCACGCGCTAAGAGTAGCTTATCAGCCATATCACGTACAGCTGCGTACGTAGGCGAAAACCCACGTGTATCTAGATCCAGTATATGCTTTACTATTACCTCCTCCTCTTGCTTAGTAAGCTTCTTTAAGTTGGGCTGGCAATCATGTCTAGCAGGTTTGCTAGTGTGTTGGTGGTGGAGGGTAGCGCGAGAGACTTTAAACGTTACTGCAGCACGCCTTTTAGTCTGAATTTGATTTGCATTAAGAGCTAAGATTGCAAGGTGTATATCAGTCTTACAAGAAGCGTGTTGGGCTATGTTTGGTGGAGCCATAGTCGATTTATAGTTGTAGGGTATAGAAATTTGGTGGGGTGGCTCACTCGCTTCGATGGCTCACTCGCTAAGTATTTACGTTAGTACTTACTATAACGTGTTTCACCACCGAGCCGCGCACCACCACTGAGTCGCGCGGCCCTACGAACTTTGCGACTATTACATCTGTTACAAAGATGCCACCACAACACAACACGCAATTAATCTACAATAAAGGCATACTTTACCTTGTAATCCAGGCTACAAATACTACTGTGTCTAATAGTACAAAACACGTGTCTAGAGCGTTCAATGTTCCTGAATTAACCCTAAGAGACTAACACGCTAGAAAACACACACAACGTAACTGTAAAGCTAACTTAAAGAAGCCTAAGAAGACAGAAGAGGACGCAATAGTTACACGTATACTAGAGCTAGATGAGCAAGGGATAGGCCCTACAAGGACTATGGTAGAAGAAATGGCCAACAATCTGCTCGCTGCGCGCGGTAAAGGACCTGTTGGCAAGAACTGGGTAGACAGGTTCAGAACGCGTACTAAGGAAGTCAAACTTCAATGTAGCTATCTATACAATTATTAACAAGCCCTAAACAAAGACACACGCGTTATAGAGCCCTAGTTTAAGCTAGTAAGAAGAACAAAGAAGAAGTACAGGATCCTAGATAAAGACATACACAACTTTAATAAGTCTAGCTTTATAATAGGCATAATTGCTGCTTAAATAGTCTTTACAGGCTCTAAGATGCAAAGCAATCCTAAGAAGATACAGCTAGGCAACTGTAACTAGGTCACAATTATCTAGGGCATCTGCGCTGGCAGATAGGCCATCCCACCCTTTATTATCTTTGGTGGCAAGGTCCTTATAACAAGCTAGTATCTAGGACTACCTCGCAACTAGGTAATTAAGACTAGCGCTAACAGCTAGATAACTAATAAGCTTGGCCTGAAGTGGTTGAAGCACTTTAACGCGCATACAAAGGAGCGTACTATTAGCGTGTACTGTCTGCTAATTATAGACAGCTATAAGAGCCACAACAGTTACTAATTCCTTAAGTACTGTGAGGAACAGAAGATTATTACTCTCTGTATGCCTCCTTACTTGTCGCACCTGTTGCAGCTGCTTGACGTAGGCTGTTTTGCCCCTTTAAAGCGCGCGTACTCTGCTAAGATTAACAGCTAGGCAAGGTACTCTATCACACAAGTTAAGAAAGAGACCTTCTTACTAGCCTTCTATATTGCCTTTAACAAGGCAATTACAAAGAAGAACATCTTAGAAAGCTTTCAAGGCGCTAGCTTAGTTCCTTACAACCTAGAGCAGGTGCTATTAAAGCTTAATGTGGTGCTTTGTACGCGAACACCTGCACTATTAGAGACCACCCTGTAGGAGTCCAAAACACTAGCTACTATAAAGGAGGTAGAGGCGCAATTAATACTTATTTATAAGCGCATACAAAGGCACATAGAATTACTAATCTCTCCTCTTCTATAGGCTGTAAATTCGCTTGTAAAAGGCATAACGTGTTTCACAAGCGAGCGCCGCACCCAACCGAGCGCCGCACTCTCGCTGCCAGAACGCCGGCGCAACAACAGCGCGTAATGTCTCAACCACAACAAGCTCCTACACTCTATACTAAAGCTAATGTACAGCTTGCTATATCTAATATCTTAAGAAACTAAATTTAAAGTATCTAACGCGCTGAGAAAGTCTACAAAGTGCCTAAACAAACAATCTAACGCTAACACAACAGAACACGCTCTTAACGCGACTGTGAGCTAAATGCAAAGCGCCTTACAAAGTTAGAAGAGGAGGCAGTTATACTACGTATACTTAAGGAATCTGCGCGTGGCCTACCCTCCTTAAAGGCAGACGTACAAGATATGGCAGATAAACTGCTAAGAGAGCGCGGCGCAAAGCCTGTTAGCAAGAACTAGGTTGACAACTTAGTAAAGCGTACACTAGAGCTCTAGAAGCGGTGGACCCGCCTATACGATCGCCAGCGGGCTGCCTGCGAGGACCCAGCAGTTATCCAGCCCTAGTTCACGCTTGTTTAGTCTATAAAGGCGAAGTATAGTATTATAGACAAGGATGTGTACAACTTTAATAAGTCTAGCTTCCTAATAGGCAAGATCTTGTTAAAGCTAGTAGTAACAGGCTTAGAGAAGCCTAGGAAGCAGAAGAAGATCTAACCTAGCAATTGTAAGTAGGTTACCTTAGTATAAGGCATTAGGTTAATAGGGAAGGTTATCCTACTATTCCTTATCCTTATAGGCAAGGTTCTTATCTCTAACTAGTTTACTAAGGACCTCCTACAGGACTAGGTTATTAATATTAGTCCTACTAGCTAGACTAACAAAAATCTAGTGCTTGCCTAGCTCTACTACTTTAATACGCATGCAAAGCTATTTAGGGTCTACTAGCTACTTATTATTAATAGCTATAAGAGCCACTGCTTAGTGGCTTTCCAAGATCTCTGCAGAGAGAAGAAGATAATCACTCTCTGTATGCCCCCGCACTTGTCGCACCTGTTGCAGCCACTTGACGTCGCCTGCTTCTCGCCACTAAAGCGCTTGTATAGCGACAAGGTTTCAGCCTTAGCACGTAGTTACATCTACTATATTAATAAGGAAACCTTCCTGCTAGCCTTTAAATTAGTGTTTAGTAAGGCGTTTACTAGAGAGAACGTTCGCGCAGGCTTTAGAGGTGCTGGACTAGTCCTACACAACCTAGAGGTGGTGTTATTAAAGCTTGATATGCGCCTGCGCACGCCAACGCCACCAAAACCTAGCAACATTGCCTAGGAGCTAAAGACACATGCACTGCTTACAAAGTAGAGGAGCAGTTAACTCTAATTTAAAAGTAGATTTAAATCTTTTAAGGGTCTCTAGCAAGTTTGTTAGATAAGCAGGTTAAACAGTTAGCAAAGGGCGCTTAACAGATAGCTTATAATATAGTGTTAATATAGGAGGAAATAGGCTGCCTTGATTGATTGATTGATTGATTGGTTTAACGTCCTGTGTGAGTCTAAGACTATATAGGACGAGAGCAGTGAGGCTGCTCTAGTAATTTACAAGTTTTCTCTGTGTAAGGGAATAGTATATATAGGTTCGTAGACATATAGTGAGAGCCTGTGCTCTAGTTATAAACCAAGGAAATTAGTTGTCTGTTGTTTGCTGTAGGTACTACTTGCGTGTGCCTACTTTAGTTTCTTGAATAAAAGCTAGTGTAGCTTAGATTCCCCTGTTTGTGTCTAGGAGAAGGGACATTGTAAGTCTTGTCTCCTGTAGGCTGCTCTTTATTTTCTTTCTTGCTTCTCTGTAGTTTCTACAGCTAAGTAGTAGGTGTTGAGGTGTTTGTGTATATCCACAGCTGCATTTAGAGCTTTCTGTTTTTTGTATATTATATAGATATGCTTTATTGTATCCATGTCCCAGCTTTAGCTGGTAGTATGCGCTTGCAATTTCTCTTCTAGTGTTTTTTAGCAGTGTTATCTTGCTTGTTAGTTTTAGCAAGAATCTTGCTGCGTAGGTGCTAGGATTTTTAAGCTTTGCTTTTGTGGAGTAGGCTTGGAGTTTCTGTTGCCACTCTTGTCTTGCAATAGCTTTAATCCTAATACCTGTCATTGCAAGGCTTGTAGTATTAGATGCTAGTTGCTGTTTTGTAGCTTGTTTTGCCAAGACGTCTGCTTTTTCGTTTCCTGTAATATCTAGGTGTCCTAGGGTCTAGTGTAGGCTAATTATTGCGCCTTTGCTGTTAATTGCCTTTGCTGCGTTTGTGCAGCAGATTTGCCAAGCTTGTCTAGGGTTATTAGAAGGAGTCTTTAGCCTTAGAATAGCTGCCTAGTTGTCTGCAAAGACTTAGATCTCTTGTGTTGCTGTAGCTATAGAAGCTGTAAACTTAAAGGCTCTTGTTATGCCTTCTAGCTCTCTATTGTATACAATCTAGCCTTTGCCAATATTATATTTAGTAGAGTAGATTTCTTTGGCCTGCTGTTTATAGTCTAGAGCAGTAACTCCTATTCCTATTCCTGTGCCTTTCTTAATAGAAGAGGCGTCTGTATAGATAGCAAGTAGGTTGTCTCCTAGTCTCTGTAGCATTTGCTTTTTGTGTTGCTCTGCTTCTTCTTCTTTAGAGAGTTTAGAGATCTCTGCTGTGTATAATATAGTCTTATTCTAGGGGTAGAAATAGTAGTCCTGCAGTTTTTCTTCTTCTTTGCTAGGAGTAGCGTTTTGTATTAATTGTATAATTTGTATAAGCTAAGTAGGTGGGCCTGTTCTTAGCCTTAGGAGAGCAGCTTCTTCCTCTTGTTCTATACTAGACTCTAAGTCTTCTCTTTATAACTATAGAGTAGCTTTTAGAGTCTTAATTATAATGTAAACAGGGTAGTTTTTAGGTAGCTTTCTAGCTCTAAAGGCGTACTTTCTTAGAGCAGTATTCAGTCTTATAGCAGGGGGAGGAAGTGCTGCCTCTGTCTCCTGTGGTGCTATAGGAGAGGTCCTAAAGGTTCCTAGGATTTTTCTTAGGGCAAGATTCTGCA